CCGCCGTCCAGAAGCTCAGATCCTCAACCGTCGTGCAGAAATTATAACGTGTGGTTTTTCGTTATGGACGGCTTCTGGGGGCCGCGGTGGGGGAAATCTACAACAGCGCATGTACTGAAATGCAGACGAACTCTGAACGCAGCAATCCTCGTCTGCCCAGGACTCTACTCTGGTCTGCACAGCATGCCGTGCGCTAGGAGTCGACCCGAGAGACTGGGACACGTATACCTGCCAATCAGCGTGTTTAAAAGAACGCCCATCCCCTCCACCTCTTCCTCACTCGGGATCTCTACCTTTTCCGATCCACTAAGACCGCCCAGGTGGTCGACACGCGTGGCCGCACCAACGCGCGGCGTAGTTATGCGGAAATAACCGTCGCATGATGTACGGAAAATTTGCGACCGTCTGCGCAGTGCTCGAGATTGTGTGGCGTCTTCTTCTGTATTCTAAGGTTTTTTGTGGCACGGGTGCTTTGTTTTCCCGCTTTGGGCCCGACCAAGGCCCCTAGGACCACAAAGCACGCTTCTCTCGAGTGATATCACGCCGTGTGGTCTCCGTGCATGGCGCGCATGCTGTACGTATGTTTGTGCTAGAGAGCGGATGAAAGATAGAGTCAGTTCCTTTCAGATCTCGTCTCTCAAATTTCGACCCAGAGGGATGGGGGCGTCGTCTAAATCTAGGCATGTGTAAATTCTGCACGTGTGGACATGTGTCGATACATAAATGTAAGTCAAGATATAAAGACACGTGGCTCGGTCCATATTGTGTATATGCATAGATATGCACACAAAACACACACATATGGTCATGTCCCCTCCCAAAAAGAATGAAGACACAAAGAGTTGCTACCTGTCCCTCAGATGCCGAGAGGTTGAGAGGTGAGGCGATTTTGCTTGTGGCGGTCGATCGCGCGCTCGCCAGGCCTGGGAGTCGGACCTCCGATGCTTCCTCTACCGCGCTCGTGCGAAGAGTACGTTTGGTTTATAGTCTGTCCTCCAGTATTGCGCGCTCGATGGCAAAACATGTGTGTCCTCCTCGCAGTCCTCCTCCTCCGCCTCTGCTTTGTGTGTTTCGTTTCAGTCATGTCCTTGGAATTTAGCTTTTTTTTCGGTTGTGGTTCTATAGCCGGAGGAAGAAGAGGGGGAAGAGGAGAAGGAGGACACGGAGGAGAAAAAGGACGAGGGCCAGGAGGAGGGCCCTGGGGGTCGCCATGTGCGATCATGGTCGCCATGAGAAACGCGCATGCGGAACCAAGAAAAGGGGCTCGCGCCCGCGCTCCTTGCTCGGCCAGGGAAAAGACGGAGGAAGGGGAAGATAATGAAGGAGCGCTGTGCGACAGTGCGGCGGTTGCCTGCGGCTACAAGCGCGGGCTTGGGAGTTACTTCGCGCGTTGCGTACGCGCGATGAAAGGGAGCGCGCCCGCGCTCCTTGCCGGACCAGGGAAGAGGGGGAGGAGGAACGGGGAAAGGATCCGCTCGGGGCTCTTCTGGTGTGTGAGTCGTTCGGGTTCCTCGTGGTTTGAATCGTTCGCGCCCTTCGTCCTGGGGTGAGTCGTTCGGCCTCGTCGTGGCTCTCTGTGGGCCTCTGGGGGCCATTGTGGGCCATTCTCAGCCCTTCTCGGCCATTGGCAAGCAATCTACTTGTGTGAACGAGCACCGATCGCTGGCGGAGCTCGCTCTTCGGTGACGCTGGTTCGTGGGCGTTCAGTAGTGCAGACTCCAGGGAGTTGTGACAAAAAGCGGGGATGCACAAGGGATATGACAGGGACGTAGGTCCCGAAGAACGGCATATGAGCTGAAGTACTGGTCGAAGAGTGGACGCACGCATCGCGCATCTTCTCGGTGCATCACTAAGGCGTGGAAGGCACGTCGTGCGCAAGGATTCGACGCGTCGGATCCCGCGACGTAGATGTGCCAGAGGTGCTCGTACAGTGCTGCAGAATCGCCAGAAGCTACACTGCAAGGAGTGCGTCGCTGAGAAAGAATGGGTGTCCTCTCACAGTTCTCATCTTCCGCCTCTGCCTCGTTCGATTCCTTTACAGTTGTGCCCCTGGGATCTCGCTTTTCTCTGGTCTTGGTTTTTCCAGGGAGTCGTGAGCAAGGGCGAAGGTTCGCATGGATGTGTGGGAGAGTGTATTTCTGGAAGAACTGTGGCATAATCGAGTGCAGGACATTGCGATTCCCAGTTGGTTGTCCGTCGCCATTGTGGCCCATCAGAAGTAGGAGATTAAATTCGCATCCGTTCCCCAAGAATTTCTTTGTTGCTGTGAGTTGTCTCCGCCTACCATTTGTGCAGTGAGCTTCGCTTGGCGCAGACGTTCCACTCGACTTCACCCCATCCTAACCTTTGGAACTTCTGGGAGTGGCGCTCTAAGACTGGCCGCTCGAAGGCAGCTGGCCCATCCCGTAGCTCTGCACCTGTTGCTGCCGGGAGCTCTTCCATGCGGAGGGCCGAACTACCAGCATTCCGCGGAGACGCATCCTGCTGGAATGTCGCTTCC